AAGTCCTTGTGAGAACTCCTCCGTCGCATCGGAATGCCTGCTGGGAACGATGCCGTGGCTCGAACCAAGCGGTAGCCTCTCGTCCCGCAGCAACAACGACCCGAACCGAAAGCGCTAGCACCTCTCGTCCTGGTGGAGTATTGCTTGCAAGTTCTGTGCCATCCAAGGAAAGCAAAGAAACGACGAGACCAAGTCGATCAGAATGATCAGAGCCAGACTTGAAGAAGACGAGATCCTGATACTCGGTCCTCCTACGAAACAACCAGCAGCTGAAGCGACTCAAACAGGAAGTGACAAAGTGCCACAGCCATTTGTCCTCTAGAGATCGAGCAGGATCAACTCAAACCGAAAGCCCTCTCATCCTTGGCAGCATGAAGTGTTGGGAACCAAAAGTGCCACCTCTTCATCTTCCAGCAAATGACCACAATAAGGAACCACCAACGCGTACCAAGACTGTCAATAATCTTGGCTTCTGCTGAGGAAAGAAAAAAGCGGATACAATTCCAAGAGACACCAGTCTGCCTGGTTCTTCGTCATCTTGAAAGAGGCCAGGTCCTGTTGCTGGAATCGAAAGGCGCCACCATGTCATTTCCTCTCACTTATTGACACGGAGCAGCAAGTCTTCTTGACCTTGAGTTGAAAACCAGGATGTCTTCTTGTTCAAAAATCTCTGGCACGTCGATCGGACCAGCCATCTATCCAAACAACGAGAATGAAGCAGCAAAAGACTACGGCAATAGGAGGTGGCCGAAGCCTCCCACCTCAGCTTAATTAATAATTGACCTGCTGCAGAATGGCGAATGTTGGTGGGCATATCTCAGCCTGCTGTTATTCTTGCGCCTGGAGCTCGTCCAATCACAAACAAAACGATTGGTGCCCACACTACAACTACTGTGCTCAAGCCAGGATCTCTTTCGTGGCAACCGAATGCAAGCCTTCCAAACCGAGAGGTAGTATACTCGAGTACGAATCATGAAAGACCTCCGCCATCTTGTTCTGCGTGTCTGCAGTTGGCCCGGCCATGAATCTGCGCCTGTATGGTACCAATCGATCGAATCGATTGATATCCTATTGAGCTTTCTTTTTTCGTCGCAGTTCTGAGCCTACCGGTAGCTAGTGGAACCCGTGTTGTGGTACAGGCTAATAGTAGTGGTCGGGTTGGTCATGAAGGGGAGGGGCATGCTGGTTGGCTGATTGTCGAATGTATCGGATTCGCAAAAAAGGGTTGGTTGCAAGCTGAATTTCAAATGTGAGAACCTCCAACCACATACGCACGGTGGCATTGAGCTATTGGCACGAAACGGCACATGGCTTCCTTGGACTCAACTCGCCAAAGAGTTGGAGGTACCATTGGTATTCGTTGGCTGGATGCATACCTGTATAGGTCGATGATACATGTACCGGCACCATCAGCCCGTATCGGTAGCCATTGCTTGAAAACCCCCTTAATTGTTACTCGAGTAAAGTTACTCTCAGAGCCCCTATATACCCAGTCCCGGTACCCCAATCCTCTATGTCCAGCCAGTGCCAGTTAGTATTTCCGTCCAGCGAAGTCATCAGAAATTACATAAGAAAACATAAATTCCGGCCGAAGAAGTCAATGCCCCAATAACACCCAGAGCAACATTCGGACCACAGCATTGTTACTCCACGGTACTGATAGTTTTGATAGTGCCCTAATTACGATAGAGCAATGTTACTCGAAACTCGCCCTTTAACTCTGAAGCTTTTTCAGCCAGCGTGGAAGGCATCAACTCCTTTTCCTCACAAATCGATTTCCGTTCTGTTAACTTGTTACTTCTGTTAACTCGACAATGACAGGAACTGCCGCTACTGAAGATACCGGATGGGTCTATCCCTACAAGAAGCAACATCAGTCCACCATGGTGGCCTTCATGTCTCATTTGCATGGCCAAGTCTATCCGAAAAATAAGGTGTTCAGCAAAGAGAGTCTGATGTCGCTTACTCCATCCAATGTGCGAGCATACCTCAATTTCCGAGCTTATGGAAAGGACAATCCTGGAGAGGGTGACTTCCCTATCTATATGCGAGCTGGCTCTGTGGAGAAGCTGAAGCAGAGCATCTCCTGGTACATGATCAACAAGTGTGTTCCTTGGATTGATGGTCGTGGAGGCAATCCAACTCGTCATGTCTCTTTGAATGAGTTGATCAAAAAAATCGAACGCCATGAGGCAAGAGATGAGGGCAAAGAAGCAAACGACAAGCGTGCATACAACAACAATGAGTTCTACAAGCTACTGGAGTTGTTGCGACGCAAAGAGGACTTCAACCATCGGTACAAGTATTCGATGATGTCCCTTTGGAGCTACCACCTGATTCATCGTCTTGATGACACATGCCACTTCAAGGTCGAGGCTCCACAGGGCTGTGTCGAGTATCCCTTTGCTATCTACACGAAGACGAGGTATTCAAAGAATGTCCGGAGCATGAGAGACTGTCCGGATCAGATTATCCTTGGAGCTGATGACTACAAGGTTTGTCCACAGGTCAACTTGGCTATCTATATGGACCTGTGGCTCAGTCGCAATCCACATGCAGTCCACCTCTTCACTGACAATGATGATGCCGAGAAAGGCCCAGCGAACTTGAACCAGCAGTTTGGCAATCGGGTCAAGCGAGTTGTCTGGGATCATGCTGAATTCAAAGCGCTGGAAGATCAAGTTGGATGCAAGAAAGGAGTCGGCACTCATAGCATGAGGAAATTCGCATCAACAAAAGCCTCCAGGAAGGGCGCAAATACTAGTCAAGTGGAATACCGAGGACGTTGGGTAGGAGACAAGTCAGGCCGTGTGGTGGCTCTACGTTATATCGACAAGACAGATAACTATGCTGATGCCTTTGTTGCCAGCTTGTTGTGTGATGGCGGTCCAATCAAGTACGAGGCTCGCATAAATATTTCGGATCAGTTTCTTCATGAACACGTTGTCAGCCATGTCAAGAAGAGGACAGATGACCTCCGGTTGCTTCGAGTTCTTGGTCTAGCCAAGCTTTGGGCTGCGTTCGATGCTGACGCTTGCAAGCTCCTACCGGAGGATGAGCGTGAGTACATTATCACGATGTTCAAGTCAACCTACGGCAATGACACACAAAGGAATCCAGTCAAGAAAGTGGCACTGGAAATCTTCAACGTGGACGGCGAACTTGACATCAGAGCGAGAGTTAACAACAACAACAACAACAATGGGAATGGCGGAGCAGCAACCGGAGCTCCAGCCGGCGGTGGTCCACGGGCACCAGCCACACACGGAGGACCAACCAACAATCAGGTCATCGCCTACTTGAAATGCGTGGAACAAACCATGCAGAACAATTTTCTACAGCTACAAGCCAGAGAGGAAGCTCAGCGAGCGTGGCTACAGCAACAAGTCAACAAGCTGTTGGTTAACCAAAGGCGATTTGGTGCTACCCTTCCACAAGCGTTCAGCCGACAAGATCCAATTCAGAACGCAGCAAGACGCGAGGATGCTGATCGGCGAAATGAACAACAACAACAAACAGGTCGACAAGGGGAGATTATTGTTCACACACATGAGCTCTTGGTTGGCGATGATCCCACTGCTAGGCTCTGCAATCGGCCAAGGTCTCTCAATGAACTATGGACCGAGTGGACTCATGGCATTGGCAACAACAAACCTGCTAGCCAGTTTACCATGGCCGAACGCAACAACAAAGCAGCCAATATCAAGCAGACGTACTACAGAAGACGTGCTGTTTGGAGAGTCCAAGACTATTTAATTACTCGATGCAACTACACACACCACGAGGCCAACGCGAAGATCCAATCCTGCTACAACAGCACTCTTGTCAGCAAGATCAATGACTTGATCCAAAAGGATAGTCGAGTGCCTACTTATCCAGTGATAGGAAAGACACCACGCAACAAAGAGTTTCACATCAATCCAGCCCTTCATGATGCTGAGCACTGAGTCAGTCGACTTGGCCAGTTTTTGCTTTTCTTGTTGTGCGTTGGTGTCAACCAGTGAAAGGTCTGCCCGCTCACTGAAACAATGAAGAGTTAGAGACACAAGATCCACAGAAGACGACCAGGTAAGTGCTCTTCCTCCTTGTGTACAGATGGTACCAGCCCTACAGAGTAACACTCACAGTGACCTATTTCGTCCTTTTCTCCTGAAGAAAAGTCTCCGCAGCTCCAAACCATCAGAAGGACTTGTAGTACCGTACCATAGGATGATAAAAGTGGAGGAGAGAGATCTCGATCTCCTATTATAGCTACGACTTTACCGTCTTGGCACTTGTCAATTTGGTACCGTACTTGTCATCTTGATTGATACGATTCATTCTCTTCGCCCCCAGATGCATGTGTGTGTTCTTCGGTTGTGATGAGCAGTGATGAGCTTACCGGTACCGGTACCAGTACCGCATGGTACCGGCACCACGGTTCTTTTCCCTGGAGAAATGAGAACTCGAGGAATGTCAACGGCATCAACACAATAAATGAATAATGCCATTTTACGAGTGACGCAGTCAGTCAGCGTCTTCCAAGGATTTAAAGCTTGCAAGTACGCATGTACGCCGCATGTGTGGAATGAGTGGACAGACGTTTAATGGTGGTCATATGACTCTGTTGAGAACTCCAGAGCATCCAGCACTTCAACCAACTGCCTGCATGCTTGTCAACACCAACTTGACTATCCGGATAGCTCTTGACTGCAGTTTTGGCCACAAAAATCAACGAAAGAGTCCATCGAGTCTCCCTCCTCTATTGTCACTTTGTTGACGCCCTTAGCATTTGTTTTCTCTCTTTCTTGACGCCTGCACCCTTTGAAGCCGAGACTAGCTAGACTTGCGTATAATAACCAGCTCACCTTTGAAGTTGTTGTTCCTACTAGTACCAATACTATACCGGTACCCCTTGACAGCCTCAGCGACGCAGCTCAGATTTCTGGTCCATCACTGCCCTTAGCCAAGATTCTGCCTTGATTTGATATACTACCAACGAAAGTCACCGAATCATTAGGATGACCTTACCCAACAAGAACGGGGTTGGAATGACCTTACCTCCCACCAACAAGGAAGGCCAAAGCAATCCTCTCCTAACCGTGACAGATGAAGTGGATGTCGATTCCTTGAGGATGGATCTCGAACAACCCAAAGAGTCACCAACAGAAGGGTTTGCCATGGCCAGATCCTCGTCCTTAACCCTTGGCACTGGGGTATCTACCATCATGGATTCTTTATCTCCCAAAGATCTGGCAACATTGGCAAGCCTGCTCAAGCCACTCCTGAAAAGTCACGATAATGAAAGAAAGAGCACCGATTTGAAACCATTTCGGACGCACGGGGAGATATTTTCGATCGAAGATGAGAATGAAGACAAGGATAAAGACGAGGCAGAATGGCACAATCCCTTTGGAGCAAGCACATACTCTCTCATCTATTTGTGCAGTGTTGATAGTGTGGCATTCTGGTATGCCATTTTTGTCTATGTAATCCAGGTAAGTATCAAAATGATGACGACTCTAGCTTTGTCATCATGTTGTTTCCAACTCACCCACTATATTCGTACATGGCTTCAACAAACAGATCACTACCATTCTGCTGACACTGATTGACATTGTTGACTGGAGTGGCAATGGACTCGATATGCCACCTAATGTTGACTTGATTGTCACAATTGCTCAAGGTGTCGCCCTTTTCCAGGCCGTAGCTTTCCAATCAGACCTCCTGGAAGTAGTGGGAAAGTGAGTTGTATATTGATTTCTCTCCAATGGGTCTCTCATGTTTCCCAAATATCCCTTATGCTTCCAAAACTCGTTTGTTCCTACAGATTTAAAGGTGGCTTCCACCCAGAGGTGCTCGAAAGACACCCCGGAGCAACCTACTCTACTTGGCTTCTTTCTTGTATTGCTCAGCTCATGGCTGGACTACTCTTACTTTTGACCATCTACATCTTGACCATGCAAGTTGATAGTGTCTTGGGAATCATGCTCAACTTTGCAGCACTGCATTTCATGGCAGATATCGACAATGTGGCATTCGACCTTGCCAAGGCAGGCTTTATGGGAAACCGGCTTCAGAGTGCTGCCAATAATGTTGTCAACTTCCAAGTCCGCAAACCATCAGGAGAGCAAGGATTTCTGCAACGTTCTTGGAAGGCGGGGGTCTTCCTTTCGATTCTTGCAGTTATGGTGGCTGGATGGATTACTATTGTGGTCTTTCGGACATCAGGCAAATACATGTGCAACACCATCATTGTGAATATGGGAGATGAATTCGTTCCCTCCCTAGGAACCTTCAACGGCCTCTATGATTTGGATTTCTCAACTGGTTCAGGGCTGGAGTGGCGCGCGGAGTATGCCGAGAGACGCTCTGCAGAGATTGACACTCCTGGTAGAGGTGTTTTTGGGTACTGCAATGACATCAAGGCTTGGACATTTCGGGTGCAACCAAAGGACAATCTGGAGGGTTCAGATCCTTGTGACTGGATTGCCAGATCTTCCGAAACAGACACCTATGATATCACAGAGACCGGGAGAATCCAGTGGTTTGTCCGTGATGAAACAAATCGCGAAGTGGTGCTGGAACCACTCAGCGTCTTCTGCTTTGACTGTGCCAATGAGGATGCAGAAGGAACTGATGACTGTGGTGGGAAAGGATCATGCAGCAATGCTGTCTGTGACTGTGAGGATGGTTGGTATGGGCTCCGTTGTGAGTTTGTCAGCCCCTGCCCGTGGATCACCATTGATGCTAGAAAAGAAAAGTTTGCCAGTACCAGGGATTGGGCAAGCAATTACCAATTCATTGAATTGGGTGACAGCACTCTGGTTGAAGCATACCATCGACCAGTGTACATCCATGAGTATGAGAGTGGCGAATATGATGTTGTCATGTTCACGGGTGGGCGTTGGGCTTTGACTTCTTCTGTTTTCTTATCCCATACTGGAAGGATCCCTTCCGATGGTCTTTCTGAAGGCCAGGATGATGTTGGCGATGACATTGGAAACTTCTTCAAGTACTCCTTTCATGGATTCAAGGGGTTCTCCACCAACTTTTCTGTTGCTTTTCTCAGTGACTACATGGAGATTGGGACAGAGCGTGACTCTAGTTCTCCTGTTGGCTTATCTTGGTATGACATAGCCAAAGAGGCTACAGCTGAAGATGAGAACCAGGGAACGGGCAGCTTGGTTGATGCAGAGTTTCTCTGCCACGTTTGTGATTCAGATTCAAACCCATGTCTGTATGATGGAAAGTGCAATAATGGGACATGTGAATGCAATCTTGACTCGTTTGGGAGTCTTTGTGAAGACCCTCCAGGTATGCACATGCACATGGATCATCCAAGAATTGTTTTGCTCAGTTCATCCTCATACAAATATCTTTTGTCTTCCATGCATGCAGTCAACAATGGTCACTGTGACCCCTTTTTCAACACACCCAAGTTCAATTTGGATGGCGGGGATTGCTGTGAATCTACGTGTGTGAGCACATCCCAATATGTTTGTGGAGCTGAAGAAGATGGCTATGTCAGCACTGGGTACTTTTACTGTGAGCAACCAAAAGGCGAGTGGCAGCAGGACAGTGAGTTCAATGGAGACACAGGCGCCTCTTCTGGGTTTGCAATGGATCTTTCAAGGGGGGCAATGGCTGTTACTGTTACAGCACTCAGCGTGAGTATATACGACAAAGTTGGATCCTCCTGGGTGCTCAGAGACACCCTTATTGGACCTGCTACATCTGATGTGTTTGGGTGGAATGTAGCCCTCTCTTCTGGGCTGTTTCATGTTGCCAGCAATCCAAGCTTCAGACCACCCCTCACTGTTGTTGTTCAGGACTTCATTGAAACAATTTATATCTACAAGTGCTTTCTTAGTGGCTGCACTCAAACCCAACAGATTCCATTGGTCTCTGCCTTTGATCTGTCGGATGATGGGACTGTTCTCGCAACGTCTTTGCGTGCTGCTGCTAATCAGGCACCCAAAGTGATTCAAGTCTATGAGGCCCAAGAGAGAATATTTGAGTTCCGTGCAAATGTAACTATTGCAAGAAATGGTAACCTGGATGATGTCTATTCCTTGTCCTTGAGTGAAGATGGCAGCAAACTGGCTGTACAGTCACAGGCGTCAGTGTTTGACTCTAAGACCAACTCTGGTTTGGTAACAGATGAGTACATTGTTCTCATGGCCTGGGATGAGTTGACTGGTGAATATGTTCAGGAGATTGAGTTTCGGTTTGAGTCTGATGAGAAAACCATGGACCACCCCTTGTCATTGGCGTTGAACCAAGATGGCACTGTTCTTGCATATGGCTTCCCGAAGTGTCAAGGCACTCAGCTTCATATTTTTAATCATAATGATGCGGGTGTTTGGGTACCACAGAGGACTCCAGAGATGAACAACACTGGCTGCATTGAAAGTTCCCTTCCCATTAGCAACAATGCCTTGGCAGTATCTGGTGATGGATCCATGATTGCGTTTAGGGTGGGTGACAAGGTCAGAGTTTACAGCTGGGAAGCTGAATTTTGGCATGCTCTAGGAGATGAGTTCCCATTCTCGCAGTATGCAGTTGCAATGTCTCCTGATGGCACTGAAATTGCGATTGGCTCCCCTGGGGAAGGCATCGGTGGAGTCACATCGGTCTACTTGCTGCCAGGAAGAAAGGAGTGCCCCACTGGCATGTCACTCCTGCGCCTTTCACTGACCCTTGGTTCTACACCTAACCTGTTGGGGTGGAACCTTGTGAACAACAGCACTGGGGAGATCCTGTTTGAGCAAAACTCAAACCCACGAGAATACCCAGACGGGTATAATTATGCAACAATTGTGGAGGAGACTTGTGTTCCAGCTGATTCTTGCTATGTCTTCACAATTCACAGCATGTTCGGTCGCGGCTTGTCCGCCCCTGGACAGTATGCAATTTTTATGGATGGAGAGAACGTTTCTCAGGGAACCTTTAATGGTCTTTTTGCAAGAGAGCAGTTTGGAAGCTGTGCCTCTTGCCCCACTGGTACAGAGCGGTTTGGCATGATGATGTTGACTTGTGGACCCATGGAGTTGGTGTTGTTGAAGTTGATTGATCAAGGAGAAAATGGTGTTGTTCTCCATTCAGATGATACATTTGACGGGAATTATGATGATACTGTTTACGAGACCTGCGGTGAACATTTTCCACTCTTCCACTGTACAGAGTATATACCAGTTTCTCATGGTGCATGCCTGGACCCCACCGAGTGTTATGGGGTGCATGTCCGTTCCCCAAGAAAGTACACTGCAGACCTTGAGCTGGTGTTTGGGGAGCAGCGAGTCAATGCAGACTACGAGGAAGTGTGCGATGGGCAGACATTTTTTGTGGGCAACAAGGACAAGTGCAACCAAAAAGCCGACTGGCAGAACCAACAGGCACCAGGTCAGAATGTATCCCAGACACCCTAGCTGCACAACCTTTCATATCGATATATCATTAGTTGTGTGCTGAAACTATAAACATTTCCATTACAATTAGTTTCGATGTTGGAGGAGCAGAAGTCTTGGTTGTTTTTGCAGGGCTTCCAAATCATCACTATCGCGAGAAAGTCGTACGTTCCCGAGGACTCAGATGGCAAGACAAGTAATACAGAGTGCACGGGGTCTGCGGCTCAATCGACAACTCGTAACAAGTGGCGGAACTGGACCTTGTTGAAGTGTCACAAATTATAAAGGAGCCACTGTTGCTCGAACCGAAAGTGCCACAGCCTCCTCATCAAACTCGATCTTCAAATTTCTCCCTTCGTAAAGTTGTCATCCAGACTGCCGTCGATGACAGATGACGAGGCGTTCGGTTCGTTTTCGTTATTCTTTGATTTGTCTAAACTCCTGGCTGGATGCCGATCCACGACTTTCATCTTACGATCCATCGATGCCAAACTTCCAAGGGCCTTTTGGATCGTACGTTCCACTCGCACATCTGATTCTTCCTGTTTCATTTGCGCAACTGTAGACGCCACTGCACTGGGACGAACGTTGTCATCGGTAGAGGCGATGCTGCGACGAAATACTGGTGCGGTCTTGACCTTTTTGGCATCGTCATCGTTGTTGTTGTCGTGGGTACGAGTGATTGCCATAACCAATGCCCGTAAACGTGAGAGGGAACTGGAGGTGTTGATCAGGACCATCTCCTGATGACCAGAGGGAAGCACAAGGTTCAACGACAGGCGTGTTTCCACATCATGCATACTGCTCGTAATCGTATCGGGTAATACCATTGGAGCAACGTCATTAGGCAAGCAAAGGAACAGCTTGAGAGTACTGCGTGGAGTGACTCCATGTTGCAACAGAGAGAGGTTGTCGACCATAGGAGTATCCCGGTACAGCAATCGTTGCTGGTCTGGCAAGAGTCCGATTATGTCTTCCATCTTGCATTTGATCATGGTCACCGTGTCCGAAAGTCGTACTCGAAGAGCAATCGTCTTGCCTGCAATGGTTGTCTTGACCATGACCACGCTCAGTTCTTCGAATCGTCCTTCCAATGATGGACCAGACAATCCTAGCTCTGGGATCCGCACCTGCTGCTCGCGTTCCCATCCTTCGTCGTCTTCGTGCCAATGATTGCCCTCGGTCGGGGACCAGAGGGACATACGATACTTGCTTGCCAGAAAGGCAAAGATGCCAAACGCTTGGAGGATCTGTTGCAGAACAGATCCAATGAAAGAGAAGCACAAGAAGATTCAATTCTTATTCGTCAACAACAATCGTTTGCGACGCCCCAGGCGAACCGGAGACAACATGACTTACCCCATCGTGAAGATCTTGAAGTGTATCCGAGAAGAGTTCAAAGGTTTCGACACCACCACGATCCGAAACGAACTTGATGGTGGATGCCATGGAAGCCATCGTAGCGTCATCATTCCGATAGTCTTTGGTTGGCAGAACGAATCGAATGCGTCGTTGACCCATTGTAACATCCACATAGTCAATGGCCGGTTTGGTTACGAGTTTTACGCCTGTGCTAATGTGATAGGCGTGGAGCTTGTAGGAGAGGACATCCTTTTGAGTACATGTCCGTTGGAGCTTGCTTTCGTGCGGTGTCACCACCTTGTAGAGACGAAGGTTATTGACAGTAGTACGATTGTTGGAGTTTCTTACAAGGTCGATCAAGATGGTATCTCCATTCTGAAGTGTACTACCAATGGTAGAAGATGCGGATGACGTCCCGTCCTGCTGTGGGACCACAAACGTTCCCTCTGTTGGTTCTTTCTTCGGTGTTTTAGGCAACAACAGAGACTGGCGTTCGACGAGTACTTCACGTGGCTTTGCCAGCCAGAGCACAAGACTCTTCTTCTTCTTCTTGGTTCGAGTACCTGTACGCCCACAAATCTTGGAACGAGCCTGTTGAAGGAGATCACGGACGGTGAGCCCTGAAGTTTCAGGAACAACAATCTCAACGTCATCCGATCTGGGATTTGCCGACAAGCCAGGTTCCTCTTGGATTTGCTTGCTGCTACTTTGCCGGAGGATGCTGACTTTGATCCGTCCGGGGGTTGTCACCTCGTTGGTTGGACTTGCCATCATTGCACGTGGTTACAACCAATGTAGCTCAATGTTATGGGTCGATGGACAAGCAAAAGATAGCTTTTATTAGTACGCTGCCTGTCGCCTACAACTCGGAGCTGCAACAATAAGGAGGCGCATTGGCTGCTTGTCTCGGTCACCGGGTTCATAGTCGGCAAGCTTCTGCTTCAGCCCGGTTTGGTCTGCAATGCTGCAATGTGCAGTGTCCAGGGGTAAACATGCATACATGCTATGGGAAAGAACTTGATCAACGATATCGATATCCGTGTGGGCCATGCATGTGTGAAGAACCGGCAACAGATCTTTTCCATGGTGGGAGTTGAGATTGCCCGCGGGAGCCAAAAGTAAAGGCATTTGCGGCTCTGACAGTTTATTTCGTCTCCTGGAGACGATTTGCTTTAGGGGTAATGGTACCGATGGGGGCAGAGGTTTGAATTATACCCGGCGCGCATTACTTAGAAGGCCCTGTAGAAGTCTACGTATTCGACTAGT